ATGGATTTTTTAGATAGATGGATTTTTTAGATAGATGGATTTTTTAGATAGATAGATAGATAGATAGATAGATAGATAGATAGATAGATAGATAGATAGATAGATAGATATATAGATAGATAGACAAATAGCTTGAAAACTAGACAGCTAGATAGATAGATAAGGAGATAGATAGACAGACAGATAAATAGATAGACAGATAGATCAGTAGGTAGGTAGGTAGATAATCAGAGAGAGAAAGAGAAACAGAGAGAAAAAGAGAGAAAGAGAAAAAAGAGAGGAGACCTCAAGCACCTTTCAGTCCATCAGTGGCTTCGCTCTGCCATCCCTGATTCACAACAACCAACCTCTCCTATAGGTTTCCTATTTTTGAAACTTCCGCCACCGCCTTGTGCGGTACTACTGGTAATGGTTAATAATGGTTAATAATGGTTAATAATGGTTAATAATGGCTAAAAGACAATGGTAAATAAATCATGGGGAAGATGTATGATACTGTGGATGGGCCAGCGAAATCCTGCACCACCAATTTGGGATGGTTGAAACCCATCTATCAACTGGTGCAGGATCCCTAATCCAACCAGTAAATCCCGCATTTACTGACCTTCGGAATCTCCACCAATGGGCAGAAGCGAACAGGCCCCATTTTGCTGCGGTGGTAGCTGTGGATGTTCATCCCCATTCCTATGGTCCTCACCAGTCGTAGAAGTCGCCACTAACTATGCATGTTCCAGATCCACGCAAAGCTGACGTGAACTACAGTACCCCATCCGAATGGTTAAAATGTAACCCCTGAAAATCTACCATTTAACCAGGCTTTACCAGGCTTTACCCTCTGGTAAACTAACGTAACTATGGAAAATCACCATTGTTAATGGGTAAATCCACTATAAATGGCCATGTTCAATAGCTATGTTAGTTTACCAGAGGGTACCCATCATGATCGCTGACTTTCCCCCATCATATCTTTCACAACACCCGGTAGCGACGGTAGGGCAGCAGGGCATGTCGCCTGCATCCATCTTTGAATGGCCACCTGCCCCAGCAGGGTGCAACTGAAGCCTCAGAGGTGGAAGATTTGACCCAACTATGGCATCCTGTTGGGGGGGGTCAACCGGGTCAACCAACAAAAATAGGGAGATAATAGTAATGATTACCTGGTAATGGATCAGCAGGAAAAAACAGTGATGTGAAATGATGTTTAAGTGAGAAAGACTTGTGTGGGATGTTTAAACCAACAAAAAAGGGGACTTTAAGCAGCGAGCACCAATAAACATGACATGTTTGAGCAACGATTTGAGCAAGAAATCTGGCTCTTACATTGCCAAGAAAACAGCTTCAATATGCTTTGATCAATAGGTTCCGAAGCCACCGAGAACAATTTTCTGGTGACATTGATGGAATCTCTCCAACAAGGAGCGGAGAAATGGAAAAGTCAGCAGGGAAAATGAGGCGAAAAAAGGAACAACCACCCAACATACTGGGGATATATCACACCCAAAAAGGTTGGCTCTTTTGCATATGGCCATGTGTATATATATATATATACAGTATATATTTATATTACCCACTTGAACCAGGTTTCGGATTGTCGGCCGTGTTGGCAAATTTCAGACAGAACCCTTCTGCAGGCGCAGGCTGCACTAGTGATCGATTTTGGACGTGGGAACAAAAAACATCTTGACCCGGCAAGTATCTCACCGAAAGGGTGGCTTTACAGCAGTGCCCCAGCGGGTTTTGCCCCAAGCAGAATTTCACCCCACTGGCGAACATTTGGAGCTCCTATGGGGTTCCATGTTCCCACAGCCTCTGGTAGGGAATCAAGCGATGCAAAATGCCCATCCAGCCAACTCAGATTGTTCCCAGTGGCCCAAGATGAAGCAGAAAGCTCCATAGTCGCCCTTCAGCAAGCCGAAGACCTCCAGTGGGCTATCCGGCTATCCAATGACTCAACTAATAAATGCATATGGGTACCCCATAATGATTTGGGGGTACCAATAAGCTTAATAAATACAATCAATAGGTACCCCATAAATCAATAGGTACCATGACTGGGGGTACTACATATGGAGGTTTCCTAAGTCATGGTATCCCCAAATCATATGGATGTTCCATGAAATACACCAAGCAGCTGTTGGGGATTCCTCATTTATGGAACCCCCATATGACTATAAATTATAGATCAAAATCATCAAGCCTTCAAACGGATGCTTCAAGACTACTAAAATGACAAACCACTTTTGCACTTTTGCCAGTCCGATGTTTTTTTTCAATTTTTTGGTGACACAATGCATGTTCACATCTCTTGGGGCTCCCAAAGATTTGGAAAAAAAATCATTGGATGTCGTTGCAGGATGTTAGGAACAAATGTCGGTGATGTTGACCATTGGGTTATGACTAACAGTTCGATGGAAAATCACCATTTTTAATGGGTTTACCATCTATAAATGGGCCATTTTCCATGGCTATGTTAGTCATAACCAGATGGTATACCAACTAGTTTGGGATGATTTAAAAGAACAAACTCCATCAAAATTCCCTAAAAGATTGAAGCTGCAGACTAGGGCCGTGAAAAATCCCTATGATTGTCCCTGGCCTGGAAAGAGACTGCCGCTGAAGCTGAAGTGAAGAGAATCCTTGGAGAATGCGCGTTTTGAAGCACAAGAAATGGATAAAATGGCTATTGGTCAAAACCCTGGCACCTAGTGAACCCCAAAATAGCTGGTAAATGGATGTTCATCCCATTAGAATTGATAATAATAGGTTTTGACCCACCCCCAAATGAACAAAATGACTACAAAAAAAAACACAAGAAAGAGGTCGTATTACAAGCGAAGAATGGGATATCATTGATATCATTGGGACCCAGCAATGGAATCACGAATGGGCTTCTTGAACGACACGGGTTGCTTGATGTTGTTTGAGTTGACAGAAAAAGGACTCAGTCCGTCCCTAAGAAAAGGCAGCATTTTCCGTCGCTTACCCTCTGGCCATTTAACGTAGCGAACTGGAAAATGGCCCAGTCGAAATAGTGGATTTACCATGATTTACCCATTATTTTCATGGTGGATCTTTCCATAGTTTATAGTGGATTTTCCCATTAAAAATGGTGATTTTCCATCGGTTTTCATGGTGGATCCCATTAAATCACTATAAAATCCCATTTTTCCAGTTCGCAAACCGTAAACGTTTACCAGGCCGGGTAAGCGACGGAAGGACCATTTCTTATTCCGACACCTCCATGGCTGGATCATCGGCCAACCCAACCATGGTCGATGTTGCGTATCAAGCACGAATATTGGAGCCTGTGAACTATTTATGGATGTATGTATATATATATATGCTATATATATATGATATATATATATATATATGATATATATATATATATGATATATATATATGATATATATATATGATATATATATATATGATATATATATATATGATATATATATATATATGATATATATATATGATATATATATATATGATATATATATATATATATGATATATATATGATATATATATGATATATATATATATATGATATATACACCGGTGAAATCTAACATAGCGTTTTTTAGCCCTGGCACCAACTCACAAACATAGCATCTGGCTACGTTGTCAACCCTGGGGATTTGGAGAAAGTGATCATTTGGGTGATTTCTGCCAACACCTGCTAACATAGCCTCTGTTTCCGTCCTCCCAATGTTTGGCATTCCCCAGGAAGTGGGTAAAAGAAATGTACCAGAATAAGCTAACATAGCTGTCTGGAGACTTGTCACAGCTTGGAACCACCAAATGGAAAGTGCTATGTTAGCATCAAACTCCACGGAAAACATGTTTTAGAAAATGGGAAACCGAACGCATCAATCAATCAATCCAGAATGAAAGTACCCCTGGTTGCTATGTTAGGTTGTCTCTTTTGAGTCTCCAGCCGACCAGATCAAACCAAAACTGTTTTTGGATGCCTTTCTGGGGCTCACCCTTACTGGACCCAAAAAAGCTTCAAAACCAACAATTTTACATAATAGACTGAATAAGAAAAAACTCCTGGTCAAAGTTGCCAATCTGGCTACTTGCTGCCATGATGATTATGATGTACTATTGGAGGTTTTGGGAACCATGGGCAAATGCTATGTTAGCAATCCTGTTGCCAAAACTTTGGTTTTGGATTGAAAATCATGACTGGCACAACAGTTTTTGGATGTCTTCCTGGGGCTCACCCTTACTGGGCCCAAAAAGCTTCAAAATCAACAATTTTATATAATCGATTGAATAAGGAAAAAAACTCCTGGTCAAAGTTGCCAATCTGGCTACTTGCTGCCATGATGATTATGATGTACTATTGGAGGTTTTGGGAAGCCTGCGCGAATGCTATGTTAGTAGTCGCCTTGGGCTCACAACCTTTCCGCCAACGGAAAAAACTCCTGGTCGATGTTGCCAATCTGGCTACTTGCTGCCATGATGATTATGATGTACTATTGGAGGTTTTGGGAACCCTGCGCAAATGCTATGTTAGTAATCCTGTTGCCAAAACTTTGGTTTGGATTGAAAATCATGACTGGCACAACTGTTTTTGGATGTCTTCCTGGGGCTTACCCTTACTGGACCCAAAAAAGCTTCAAAATCAACAATTTTAAGGAAAAAACTGCCCTGCGCACACAGACGAACGCTAACACAGCATTTCCCGCTTGAGCTTACTTGATGCTTCACACGCGCCAAGTTAGCACCAAAATGTCCATGTCACACCATGTGTTCCCAACGCCAAGTTAGTTGAATCTCAGCCCCAAAACCCAAACACTAACATAGCAAAAAAAATATTTTAATAAAAAAAACTTTCAACAGGTAAGATTTCACGAGAGTATATATATATGATATTTATATATATATATATATTATATATATATGATATATATATATATATATGATATATATTTATATATATGATACTATATATGATACTATATGATATATTGATATATATATATATATGATATATATATATATCACATATATATATATGATATATATATATGATATATATATATATATATGATATATATATATATATGATATATATATATATGTGATATATATATATATATGAGATATATGTGATATATATATGAGATATATATGATATATATATATATATATGATATATATATATGTGATATATATATATATATCATATATATATATATCATATATATATTATATGATATATATATATGATATATATATATGAGATATATATGATAGATATATATATGATATATATATCATATATATCTCATATATATATATATGATATATATATGATATATATATATGATATATATATATATATATGATACATATATATATATGATATATATATATATATATATGTGATATATATATATGTGATATATATATATATATCATACAACCGTTATAAGTTATAAGCTATTAAGCATCCATCAATATGGATGATTAACCATCAATTATTGGAGCCTGTTAAGTATTGACTATTTTGACCATTTATCTTTAGGGCTTGCGGCCTTGAAAGGGGCGGTTCAGCCCCATCCAAAGTCGTTAAATCCTCTGGGGATCCTATTTATAATGGCTCACCACTGTGGTTCACCATTGTTCAAAACCAGCTCCCAACTGGGATGAGAATGTCTAATCATTTCCGATGTCTAATCGAACAAAAAATGAACAAAATACACATTTCTGGCTTAAATAGCCCAGAAATGCCCAGATAGAATCTTCTAGATCGAGGAGATTGAGAAGTTGATGCTGCGAAGCCCAATCCCGGAAGTATCATGCAGCTGTGTCTGTTACAGTAAGCACCAAAAAGATCGCTTGATCAGCATTTTTGTTTGCCGTAAAATTTGATGGACATGTTGGGGGTATACCCTCTGGTAAACTAACATAGCTATGGAAAATCACCATGCTATTAATGGGTAAATCCACTATTTCGACTGGGCCATTTTCAATAGCTAACTGTTAGTTTACCAGAGGGTATATCCCATTAATATCTCATTGTATCACTATAAGATCCCATTAAATCACTATAAATCCCATTAAAAATACCAGAGGGTACCATTTTTTGACCCCTTTTTTTGATCAGTTCTTGGCGAAATCTCCCACTTTCACGTTGATCCCATTGAATCCCAGGTGTCGCTTCTTGTGGACATTCGAAATGACGTGTTGCACACATCGAAAAATGAAAAAACCTTGGTGTATCCCCATTCTGGTTGGGGTTGTACATTCCCCTAATATATATATATACATACATATATATAGATATAGATATATGTCTATGTATATATATATATATCATGTCTCATAGTTGATATCCATATGAGATCTCCATAAAGATCTGTTTGGTTTAAATCCATTGATGCGTTGTAAAAAAAACCATTGGAAGCATACCAAGGCCGCCAAGGCGAAATCTGGAAATCTGGGCTGCCCCGCATGGTGCTGGCCGTGGCACCTGCCACTTGAGGTTCAACGCCCAACTCCAGCATCAATGGTCTACGGCTGCGCGGATGCAAAACGGCAAAACGTCTCGTGTCGTGTGAATATGTCATCGTAATGATCATTGAATATTTTTGTGAATCCCAGAAAAAAGAAATGCATATCTAATCTTCCAATCAATGTATACTATGTGCATATGTGTTGATCCACTGAGAAATTCCCATTGATTTACTGATGTTCTATGGGAAGATCATTTGGATTGTTTCACCCTGGTGACCATCACCCACCCTCTGGTAACCATCACCAGTGTTACCCTCTGGTTATGTCAACAGTTTGCTATTGAAAATGGCCCAGTCGAAATAGTGGATTTACCCATTAATCATTAATAGCATGGTGATTTTCCATAGTTATGTAAACGTTTACCAGAGGGTATGTCTGAAAAGATCAACCAACTATGTTGGTCTTGATAGTTGCAGCAATTAAATCCAGATCTTGATCTTGGGTGTGGCTTCCCCCACCAGAAACCGTACCATGACTGGGGATGCTTTAGCCAAAATAAACGGTGATGTGGTCACCTTCCAACAGATGATGGATACGTTGGGTTCAAATGGCTTATCCCAGCATCATAAAAATCATGGTGGGTAATCATCGGTCCAAACAAACAAAAATGGTAGGTGTACAAATAACCCACCATGATTTTTTTGATAACGGGATAACCAAAAAATTGGCAATCATGGGTGTGTCTCAAAAATGCAGTTTGTTTGTTTTTTTCTTGGGACACACCCATGTAGGTGTATATACATGTCTTGACATGTAGGCCAATGAGTCAACGAGGGATGTGGCGAACATTAAACGAAATAACAGCAGCTGAATCGGAAATGTGATCAAGAAACAAATGTAAATCAAAATACGCAACATAAAAAGGGGAGTATTATCTATGAGTCAACAAGAGTCATAATCTTACTCTGGATTAAACAGAATGAATTCACAGATTGAGTCCTTCAATTTTTTGCCGTTCTGCATGCCCTAACCTGGCAGACCTGGCAACATTCCTTTGGTAAAGCTTCAATGGTGGATGTGCGCCGCCAAAAGTTGGTGGTTGAGCCCTACCCCTCTGAAAAATGATGGATTTGGTCAGTTGGGATGATTATTCCATTCCCAATATGATGGGAAAAAAAAGTCATGTTCCAAACCACCAACCAGTTATATACTATATATATTGCTATTCGTGGATGGTGGTGGATGGTGGAACACCATCCAATTGAAACGATGATTTTTATAGCAGAAAGAAATGTCCACACTTTTGTTGTCAAAATCATACGGCCGGTTCTCGTGCATTCAACAATGGCTTTGAACTGTGGCTTTCCTGGGGGATCCCCCATAGCTGGATGGTTTAAAAAATGGAAAATCCTACAAAATCCCATCTATAAATGGATGATTTGGGAAATCCGCCCTACTTTGGAAAGGAAACCCCCCGAACATCTTTGTTTTGATCCCGCCGCTGTACTTCTTCGTTGTTCCACCCCACGTGGAAAATGAGCCGCCGACCCTTTGATGATGCCACCTGCACCGGAAAAAACGGGACAACCAACTCATTGGGATCATCAAAAGTTGATTCCATGAACAATAGTGAATTACTTGCAACAGTAAAGCTCTAAAGTTTAACTCATCATGAATATATGTTCAGCGGCTTAAACCCACAAGTCCAGCCACAATAGGTCCATTTTGTTTTGCATCAAATCCTAATTCCGTTGCTGATCAAATCGCAATTCTTCCTGTTCGAAAATCCCGATGATTGTTGCTTAGATCCCTCATTTCAATGGGTGAGCAAAATTTCAGGGGCGCGATCCCATTTTTAATCGTGGTTCATTTAAGTTCGTTTCATTTAGGTTCATATTTGTCATGAAATGTTTCATTGAAGTCATATCAAAAACATTTCGTCATGGTTCCATCTTGCCTAATATGATACCATCTGGTTATTTAACGGTTTGCCATGGAAAATCCCAACCATAAATGGAGGTTTATAGCTAGGGAAATAATTTATTTCTATGTGCCATCTACAGTATGCCATTTTTCTATGTCAGCCATAACCAGAGTTTTTCATGTGTTCCACATACGTTCTAGTGTCATCAGCCGCGTGGAAACTGCTCACTGGAGCCCCAGGAATCTCGATGGCCCCAACTGCCCCAATGTCCAGGGTTTTTTCTGGAGTTTCCCATGATTTTCCTATTCAAATGACCATTTACCCTCTGGTAATTTAACATAGCTATTGAAAATGGCCCAGTCGAAATAGTGGATTTACCCATTAATAGCATGGTGATTTTCCAGTTCGCTATATTAAACTACCAGAGGGTATAACTGGTTGGTGGTGCGTTTTAACCCTCTTGAAAAATGATGGACTTCGTCAGTTGGGATGATGATTCCCATATATCATGGATTTAAAAAAACACCAAACCACCAACCAGATATTTTTATGGTCATTTAAATGGGAAAATCATGGAAGAAAATCCCCAGCCATAGCCATGGACATTGATAGTTGGGATTTTCCGATTTTCAAGAGATTTCATGGGAAAATCCTATGAATTCACCATGATCTCATTGCTTCCCCATCCAATGTTCATCCAGTTCCGGCTGATTTTCCACAGATTTGGGGATGGGTCAAAACCTTGTACGCCTGGTGAACATCAAAATAGCTGGGATTTATGGATGTTCATCCCCCTAAAAATGGTATTAATAGGTATTGATCCATACCCATTTCATCATTCCCACAAGGTGGTGCCCCATACTTAGCTAAGTTGGTTTATAACTCCAATAACTATGGTTTATGGCAGATATAACTATAGTTCATGGGGTTTATAAACCAACTTATAACTGGGGGGCACCATCCTGCATGGATCAATTCTCCAAGAACTCCCCCTCTTTCCAAGCACCTCCCACGCCAAAAAGGCCAGCTAAAACACCCGCCAGGCTGCACAGCAAAGGGTACCTCTGAGCTTGACCCTTCCGGGGACCGTGGAAACGGACCTGGTTTCGTGCCTCAAAAAAATGGGGCAGGAAACATGTGGTAATGATGATTTTCCCACTTCAATGCCGTTTGAGTACCAAAAAATTTAAAAAAAAACATGGTAAATCCTATATTGTGCTGGTAAATGTTATCAACTCCACTAAATCAGCATATGAAGTTTTCCTGAAATGGGGGTACCCCTAAATCATCCATTTTGGATTGGGATTTCCATTATAATCCAACTATTTAGGGGATCCCCCATTTATGGAAACCCCCATATCACTAGGGTAAGTGGTTATTAATCTGATTGTTGATGTGGCTATTCAAGCGGATATTCATGTGGCGACGTGGTTTAGATAAGTGGTTATTCCCAATAAACTAGTGGCTCACCAATGGAAAAATGAACCCATTTCGCAACTCTTTTACAACCAATATACAACCCGTACTTGTGACTGGGTACATTCCATGTACTAGGATGTGAATGGCAATGATATGTGCCGTGGTCAAATCATGGTATATGGAGCCCCTTGTAATGGGTATATAACGCTACATAAATCCCTATGACTGGTTTGATGAAAATCCGCCAATATGAGTAGATAATCCAGCTAATATTACCATGGCACCTTTTTTTCAGTGGGGTAAAGTATGGACAATAGAACAATACATGGTGTTTTTTTTTATTACTGGGGTAAGTGGTCAATGAACAATAGATAAAAACCGTACAAACCACCATGGAGGTGCACCAAAATGGCCAGAAGGGAAGAAATATCTGTGGTGCTTAGTGAAAAAAGGCTCGTCTGGACGGTTTCAGGCAATATTGGGATGGTTTATAGGTTCACTGCTTTATCATTGGCTATATTTATTTGATTATAGTATCCTAAAAATAAAAAGGCGTTGTGAATCAATGTGATTATCAGTTACTATCCATTTACGAGTGAGTATGTGGGGGTTCTAATCCAATGGGGTTATATTGCAATTTTAACAACCCCAGTTATAGTGGGTGGGTTTCTATGGCCAGACAGCCAGAGTTTCTTGGCGCAGTTTCAGTGAAGATTTAAGTGATTGGCCAGAACTATAGGGGTGGTTATTGTTGGCATTATTGGGATATTACCCTCTGGTAAACTAATATAACTATGGAAAATCACCATTTTTGATGGATAAATCAACTATAAATCGCCATGTTCAATAGCTATGTTTGTTTACCAGAGGGTACCCCCCTTAACAAATTTTGGTTATTGGAGAGTTTACTGTTGGGATTACCTTTACCACCTGAGGTAGTTTGGGATGTTCCACCAATCTGGTTGGATTGATTCAATGAAGATTCCTGAACTCTGGTTGATTTCTTGCAATTGAAAACAAAAGTAAGACATTACGAGTGACAACGGAACGGCAAATTAAAAACACATCCAAAGGTCGGCATTACTCCTATGTTGACATGAGGCAATCGCCAGTACAGAAATGTCAGGTTCTCAAGGCGCCATCCCATGTACTTGGTGAGTTGGCTCGGTCAAATTGATGGGCTTAGAAACGAAACCATCATTTCGGTTGGATGGAAACAAAAGGTGTTTAAAACAGCCAAAAATCTGCTTATTCTGTCACCTCCCTTTTTTTTTGGAGGCTGATAGCTGGGAAAACCCCATGAAAATCATCTATAAATGTGGGGACTTTCCATTGCCAAGTTCGATTGCCGGATGGTAAATCCATTTAAATCCTCTAAACCCGATTGAAGACCATACCGTATACCAATATACCGCTTGGATTCTACCGTGCCCTTCGGTGTCCTCAAAGATGTCTAGCTGGGACATCTCCGAACTAAATGGACAGTTTATTTACAAATACATGTGTATATATATATACCCTCTGGTAAACTAACATAGCTATTGAAAATTACCATTTATAGTGGATTTTCCCATTAAAAATGGTGATTTTCCAGTTCGCTATGTTAGTTTACCAGAGGGTATATATAATAGCCATAGTATCATGGTTATAGGGGCCCCATATCCCAACCCCCAAGGTGAAAATCTCATACTCTACAGCTCAGCTTTTCAGCTCCCCTCAGTTCACCGGATGGTGTTCACCGCGTTCCAGCGAATCTCTTCGCAGTGATAGTCATGGCCGTCCTGTCGGTCAAAAAATGCCATTTTTACCACCCAGAAATCCAGGGAATGGCAACCATATCACCTATAAACATGGTGATGACTGGGGGATGATTTATGATTGTTTTAACCACATCACTATTTTTTACTTCATGACCACCCAAAGCCGTAAAATTCTCTCTAGTTTTCATGCTTATTGGGGATGTTTTTCTTACGTTTTTCTTGCGTTTTTCGCGCCCCAGTGAGGTGTGTTGAAAACAACCCCAGCCGACCTCCTCATTTTCCAAGTGTTCATTGATGAGGATGTCCCGAAAAATCATCCCTCGCTGGGAAATCTGCGAGCCATCCCCATGGGAAAATCATGGGGATATTATGAAAGAAACATTTTCATGGCTACATAATATGTAGATATATGTATATTATATATATATTATAATATATATATATATAGATACTATATAGATATATGATATTATATTGAAATATTATCTAATAGACATAAATATGTAGATATATATATATAATGATCGAAAAATGGGACATCTATTGGAAAATCCTCAAGATATAGCGGTTTGTTAGTGGGCAACTCAGTTCATGGCTGATGATATAGCCCCTACACTCCTCAACATTCGTCAATCAACTTGGGTTTATGAGACCTCTCGATAATATTGGGGGTTGCATAAACTAAACAACCACGCGCTTTCTGTTCCAAACAGAAGTCACGCGGGTATGTTTCAAAATGTTGAACTCCAGCGGTGGATGGTTCCTCGGCCTTGCGAATTTTGGGAACGGTCCAATTTGCAAAAAACGATGAAGAAATCATATGGCAGTGTGTCAAAACCCATGGAATCCCCTGTAGTTCACATCAAAATAGCTGGGATTTATGGATGTTCATTCCCCTAAAAATGGTATTAATAGGTATTGATCCATCCCATATGGACGTGATGGGTCCAGCTGCCCAGCTTTCAGACCCTGGTTTGTCACTGCAGGATTTCTACCGGCAACATGTTCAGAGAAATCTCCACGGTTCCTCCCAAGAAAACCATAACTTTCTAGTGAAATCTCCCATTTTTCCTCCTAGAAATCTCCCATTTTTCCTGTTTTTCCCCGGTGAAAAACGCCGCCTTTTTCTTCGGCCGAGCTCCCGTACCGAAGCCCAAGACCCAGGGCAGCGTGGCCCAGGTGAGGAGCCAGAAACTCAGCGAGCCGCAGGTGACACCTGCAACGAAAAAAGGTTTCCATGGCGAATATTCGTTATTATAGTTATGATATGATGGATGTTATATAGTTATATAGTTATTAATAGTTAATAGTTATATAGTTATATACGTTATTAGTGTTTCCATGTTAATGATGGTTATGATATGTTATATAGTTATAGTTCACCTATAATAGTTATAATATGATGGATGTTATAATATTCATGATGGTTATGATACTAAAAAATGGAGAATATTATAACTATTCATATTTTCCATAACCATCATATGATTATTAATAAGAGTTATTTTTATATTGTCCATATTAATGATGGTTATGATACTTAATGATAACTATGATATTATGATAGTAATGGTTAATGATAGTTAAGGATTATTGCATTGGGAATCTTAATGATAATGATAGTTATATAATGTTATATCAACGATAGTTGTACATGATGATTGTTCTTATATCAATAGATTGACCGGAAATAATCATTTGTGGCAATATGATCAGTCATGGATGGATTCATGGATGGACATTTCGTGAGATGAACCATTTTACAAAAACATATTTAATAAACAATATATCAACCTTTCAATTATCTCGTCATATCAACCATAATGAATGTAAATATCCATATGATAACCATAACATTATCAACCATATTTCTGAACCATGGATTTTTATCATAACATTATGGTTATGGAATATCCATCATCTCTATGGGATGATAGGTCAGGTTGTCAGGTTGTAAAGGGTCAGATGTTCCAGTTGGGAAGATGTGTTGGCGATGATCCTTCATAACTTGGAAGAAAATGTGATGATTGTTCCTTGGATGAAAGCTTATTCATATCCAATCCAAGTATCTTTGGATGATTCCCAATAACTTTGGAAGCTTGCTTTGGGAATAGTAATGGAACTATTTTTGGGGATGACAGTGGTGGGGATACCAATAGGAATGTGTATGTTTCAGTACTCCCAAAATAATGACTTTTGAGATGTTCCAGGAAATTTTAGGAAATCTCCCATGAATAGCCGGGATAATCAAATAAATGCTGAGAATATCTAGGTCAGGGGTGAATTGAATATTTGGGAAGATATATACCCTCTAGTAAACGTTTACATAACTATGGAAAATCAACTATGGAAAATCACCATTTTTCATGGCTAAATCAACTATTTCGACTGGGCCATGTTCAAGTTCGCAAACTGTTTGTTTACCAGATGGTATTTGGCATTTGGAATACCCTCTGGTAAACAAACATAGCTCTTGAAAAAAATGACCATAGAAATAGTGGATTTTCCCATTAATAGCATGGTGGATCTTTCCATAGTTTTTTGTAGGTTTACCAGAGGGCATACCCCAATTTCAACAAAATTTGAGAAGGTTTTTTCCCAGAGGGTATTTGTCATTTGGAATACCTATGAATTGAACAATCTTTGGCAAGCTCAGGGAAGAAATCTCGGGGCCACTCTCCTGATGGCACGATGTTTTCCAATCCGGGATTCTCCCAAAAAACCTGGGGAAATTAATGGAAATAATGTGGGAAATCTTATGTTAATGTGGGAAATTTTCATGGAAACATATTTTTGGGCGAGTTACATGATAGCAGCTGATAGCAAAATAGGTATTGAAATTTGGAGAATAGGTTTGATTCTTGTAATGAGATGACGTCCAACAGAGATTTGTTGCATTGGACCAAGCAATTTGTTTGAATTTTGGAAATGGACCCTCTGGTAAGTTTGTTATGAAAATGACCATGTTTATAATTTATAATATGTAAATCGTCTTTGAATGGGGCCATAGCTAAACAAACGTGCCATGTTGAATAGTAGAACGGATGATGAAATGTTTAAACAAGTACACCATACAAAGGAACACTGTTTGAAACAAGAGTGCCATGATACTGTGGATGGAAGGAATCCTGCATCACCAAAAGGATGGTTGAAGCCGTTTAAATAATGGGATGTTTACCACCTATCAACTGGTGATTCGGATTTCGCAACCATCCACAGTATGTTTATCATTCATTGTCCATTTCTATCAAAGTCAATATTTTGACCAACATTTAACCAACATGTTGACTGTTAATTTTCCATAGCACACCGTTTTTTCTTACCAAGCCATGGATCACCATGGATCGACGTGCGCCTACGATGGAGCCATGGCCGCTCCCTTTGAGGACCGTCAGAATCTGGGCGGATGAGAATAGCCTACCCACAGTGATGAATGACTGATGATCGAGGAGTGATGGTGGATGAAATTGATGAATGATACATGATGAATGATGAATGATGAATTATTGGTGGGTTCATCATAGAGGAGGAGGAGGATGGAGGATGGCGATGATCATGATCATCATGCTGATAGTTTTGTTGGATAATGAAAATAATGAAAGAATTGACAAGGATGACAACGAAGATGCCACCGATAACCAGGAGGAGGAATGAGGAGCAGGAAGGAGAGGAGGGCGATGACAGTGCTGCTGCAGTCCTTGGTCATGAACCAAGCTTGCCAGTTTCGTTCCCACAGAATCCGCAACTGGCAGCTGGCAGTATCCCACCAATATTTCAACAGTTTTGCTCCAGAAACCATGCTGTAGTCCAAAAAATCTCATTCTGGGGGTCTGCATTATGAAGAGCTCATAATGGGGGATGGGGCAGGGCTGATCGCCCTCTACCCCAGGTGAAAGACCATGTGAAACCAGCATCTAAGAATCTATTTGCACATCAAAACTAGCAAAGTCATTGCACCTACTTGAGAGCAGGCGGAGGCGGACGAAAGGTAGTGTAGCGGGAGAGGAGTGGTGTCAAAATGCTGCGCCCCTAAGATGATACACCAAAAACGTTTTTGCGCAGTCTAAGATGATTTTATCCAGAGCATGACTGCATGATACGGTGTCTTGTGCAGTGTGAAATGATGCACGAAAAGGGGTTTATTTAAAACCCCTTTTTAAGACCCCTTGCAGCAACTGTTATTGAGGCTGAAGCAAACCAATTATGCTGGACTACAGGGACATCTCCCTCATGGAGAGTGTGCCTCTACTGTCGCGGACCGTGACCGCGTCACCCGTGGGAATTGAACCCATGACCCTTATAATTGATATCTAATACATAACGTCGACAATTCTACGTTTTCCACGGGCTGGCCCCCCAATACCCCCTATGATTGTGCTGAAGCACGGAGAACTCAGGTAGCTGACGCTACCTTTCGTGACTTGATACGTTTAATTGTGGCACATGGGTGTGTCCGAAAATGAGAGTGCCCCTCATTGATTGCCATGTGAATGGGAAAATGATTGTTAATCAAAAAACAATTTAGGGGTGTGTGTTACTATCGCAAATATCAGACAAAATCACAACATTAATCGATGACACCCATCCGTCATCCTTTCCTCCGTACCTTTTGCAACACCCCTCTGAAACCATGGTGGATGTAGGGGATTGAGCGTCTGACCACGCAGCCCAAAAAGCAACAGACCAATAGGCTCACCTTCAGCACAGGAACAGGAAGCCAATGGTAACCAATAGGGTCGATTTTAAAACGTGATGGGATGTTCCATGTTGTGGATGCCATAGAAACGAGAGCTACAGCACCACGAGTTGGGAAACGAAGAACACCAACAAAACAGTTTCATTCAGACAACACCGGAGAAGTCCCTGATGCTTCCAGCTGGCGAAGTTTCATCTGCAGTTCACATTACCCAAATGGCCCCCATTGTTCAAGGTTATATCCTCCATGCTGGTTCATTCTTGGAGGTCAAATCCTTGAAACCAAAGTTTCTATGACATCTACCCCAGTTAAATCGCGAGAGAAGTTGCGTTCAAAAGTCTCCAAAGTATATATACATATACCCTCTGGCAAACTAACATAACTATGGAAAATCACATTTTTTATGGGAAAACTCACTATAAATGACCATTTTCAATAGCTATGTTAAATTACCGGAGGGTATTCCACATGTGTCTATTGTTGTTTATTTATCCAAAGTCTTCAGTTCCATCCATCTATCCCATCGTCCATCGTCCATCGTCCATCCCACCTTGGTACTGGGAGATCGTTGCACCCTCCGCAGATCGTTGCCAGCCACCAAATTCCGCGACCTGTAAAGTCGAAGATATGCGGCCGATAGGATCGTTTTTTGATAGGATCTGGTGATAGTTGGATATCTCAATCACTATAGTTGGACAGTTATATCCTGTCTATACTATCTATAAGTATCCATAACTACATATATAAATAACTATAACCATAACTATGATTTGACTACAAACAGGAACTCTACAGTGACTATAGTTGGAGAGTTACTTATATCCTATCTATACTATCGTTGAATAAATGTTGAATATATATATATATATTCAACGATCATATGCCATTATCTATGTATATATATACCATATATATATATTTATATACTATTCACATCATTCATATGTGTATCGATGTGGTTTATGGTTTACTGGTCATTCTGGTCGGCAACAAAAGCTCGACATGGATCCACGGAAAATCCACCGTGGTGGTTCGTTTTTACACCGGTGTTCGTTGCTTCAAATCCCAAGCTTTGAGGTTTTTTATTGTAAAAAAAACAAACATAAAAATCCAATTTTTCCCAAAGATGTTAAAAATACTAATAAAATTCCAATGTTTCCCAAAGATGTTCCCAATGTTATTTGAAAAAAAATCTGTTCCCAAAGTTATTTGAAATCAATCCAAAGATGTTTAGATCTTTTCCATGTTCTTTCTTTCCGCAGCCAGGATCTCCCGAAACCTCACGTCCCGGACTCTTTGGCGTCCTCCTCGTCGCTGGCGTCATGCTCCTGGCGACGACGGTGAGTTTGGTAATGGATTTGAAACCATGGATTTACTAAATCTAAAATGGTTAAATTTTATGGATTTCTAACCCTTCAAGATTTTTCAGGTCACATCAAGCCATTGGGACTTTCTGGGTAAGATTAAAAACAACTTCGTGTAACCTACTATGGATGATGACAATCACAATAATGTGCTGATGACAATAAGCATTGTCAGCTGCTCTTCGATTCAAAATTATGTGTTCATATGAAAATTATCCGAATATCACAATTGATCATTATCAAGATGTTGAGCATTATCAGTCGACATCAGTCACAAATAACGGTGTCAATAAATGTAGCACTATAATAGCAATTACCATCCATTATATCATTATATTCACTTGGCAAGGGATTACATGATTACAGTTATGACGAAAATTGGGACTATGGAAATGATGTGTCAATTTACATGAGATGTTTTCATGACCTGTTTTTGGCACGTTCTATTTCGCAGGATTTCATGACCAGAAAATTCATGGCTAAAATCATGCACCCCTTCATGGGATTCACCAAAAAGAGCACCAGTGATTTTTGGGATGAACCCAAATTTATCTGGTTGGTGGTATACCTACCCCTCTAAAAAATATGATTTGGTCAGTTGGGATGATGAAATTTTCAATATATGGAAAAATAAAAAATGTTCCAAACCATCAACCAGTTGTGGTTTCATTGCCATGGTTCCAACTTAGATTTCAAGCAGTTTTTCAAGCCACATCAAAGTCAGGAAAGCTTGCCGGAATGGGCGTCCCAGCAACAAAATACAGCAAACCACCAACCAGTCCGTCTTACCTACTGTGATTCTTAAAAATTACGCCATAAATTGAGCGTAGTGTTGTTTCTTCCCAATCATATGAGGATATACCATAGATTCATCTCATCATCCCAAGCTTTCGTCACACCTCCTCCTCTTGAGGTAAAGCTTGTGGTCCCTGCGTAGTCTCGTGGTTGAACATCTCCAGGCCCTGCCAAAAACGGAGGCTGTGGAAGACAAAAGAATTTGGGAGATACCCAATGGATCGCATATGTGTATACAGTGCAGATATACATATTATATACCTATATATCTATATGTATACGGTTATACGCGTACATAGACAAAGGAGCGGCAAATTTCAAGAGAAGCGTTGGAACTGATATGTTTGATATTAACTAGGAATGTGGTAACTTCACCATCTCAAAGTTTCGAAATCAGAATCTACTGGGAATATGGTAGCCCTGGAAACCTGGAAGCAAGGGCATGGAATGATACCTGTACTCAATCGGAACGTGGTGACCCTGGAAATCCAAGTCCCCCCCATTGATTGACCAAAGAGGTCGCTTACTTTTGTTGATTTTTTTTGGACGTGTCTCTTCCAGCGGAGCCTCCATTTCCACTCCTTGGCCCCAATTCTGTGCACATGAGCCATGAAGAAGACCCTAATCTTATCCCACCAATTGGTTGATGAGTATCCCCATTATGGGTTTTGATCGTCCTCAGTAAATGGCTTCAAAAAAAGCTGGATTCCAGCCCTGCCTCGGGGCTGGGATTCCACCCAACAAAAACTTGGACCGACAGGTGGTTGGAATGTCGAATTATCCATTTGTCCATCTGTCTATCCATCCATCTATATCCTTCTTTTCTCTCTGCTGATCTATCTGCCTGTCAACCTATCCATCTCTCTGTCTTTCCCTCCATCTGCTTAGCTCTCTATCTGTCTGCGCAGCCGTCCATCCATCATCCTATTTCTGTCTATGTGTCCATCTGTCTATCTTTCTCTCCACTTCTCTCCTTTAAGATCTGTCCATTTCCTTGTCTCTCTATCTGTCTGTCGTCTTGTGGTCTATCCATCTATCTAGCTGTCTATCATGCGACTGATCATGGTGAAACAACAGATGATGACTTCGACCCGAAAGGCATCAAGAAAAACATCCATAGTCAACGGTTGGCCCATACACGTAATGAAACATCGATACAAATTCTTTTCATGTTAAAGTTCCCAAGCCAGCCCGACCCAATGATTACCACACAACCATCTTCAGGTACTGTTGCAACTGGCTGCGAACATGCTGTTCATTGACCAAACCAAAATGACATCATGGGTGACGAACCGGTTGAACACTTAGTAAGAGATCATCCCTACAATGTGACACCTGCAGAGGTCTTGCCCGGTGATCATTTATAGGTAGCTTGAACAAATATCTTATTTTGAGACCCCTTACAAAGATCTTCCGTGGAGATCTCCTATCGGCACCTTGCACAATTGCCTTACACAGGGATCCTGCACAGCAGCTTCTACCGGAATCGCAACACGAAACCGCACGAGGCTTTTCGACCACTGCTGCGGCTCTGAAAAAAAAGGTCTTGCTGCTGTCTTCTTACCTTGACGACACCCCTTTTTCCTCTATGCGAATATCTTTTTCTCCTGTTACAATTCTTCTTCATTTCCTTCCTGCGCGCTGTTTAGGGTCCCTTGCGCAGCTAATCTTACGGAAACAAAAACCAGAAGGAAAAAAAACTTGAGCCAGCTACATACCACTGAGCCAGCGCGGTATCCGTCACCATCCTGTCCAAATCATATTATGTATTCGTCTTCCGCTTTCACACTCGCTCGCCAGCTCACCTTGACATTGCGCGCTCAATTTTTTCGAGTTGTTTCTTTCGTTTTCCTGGCTTTGGTTAAAAACTCCAGCCAGCTCGATGCCATCGAGCTTGCCCGATACATTTGAGCTAGCGCGGTGTTACTGAGGTAGCCCGTTCCACCTGAGCGAGCCTGCAAATTGTTTCCCGGTGTGTATCCCAAATGATTTGATTTATAGGGACTGTACCCTTGCTGCGGCCCAGAAATTGAGGAGCCACGTTTCAGGCCAAATCTGCCTAGACAGCGGCGCGACATTAAAGTCAAAACACACTACCCCTATTGAAATTCAGCCAGCTACATGTTTTGGGCTAACTCGAAAAAAAAGATTGTGGCCACATTCAAACACATCGGAGAGACAAGCCAAGCCCTAGCCATTCAAGCAACAGAGTCAGTTCGATGAAAATAATCCAAGCTAGCCTGCGAAGCTTTTTGAGATCTGTGTATGTAGTTCCATGAACAACCCTTTTAAGCCGACCGTATCTATCACAGCGCTCCTCCTCTGAAGGTGACCAGTCGTGGTGGCGCAGCAGCACAGTGTCATCCCGGGTGAGATGACACTTGTGCGCTAAAAAGCCTGCAAATTCCAGCAAAGAGCAGGTCCGGGGTCTCTGCGCCAGGCAAGCTGGCGTTGAAGGCGCAGGTCGGGCCAGACTGACTGGCACCACTGCCCCGCTCTCCAACCCAAAACGACCCGATCCTCGGCCACCCAAACCATCCCAAAGCTCCGATATGGAGCCACTCCTCAATGTCGAAGCTTTCCCAAGGCTTCTGGGGATCAACTGCTGGAAATCCCTCTGTCATCAGCGTCAATGCCGATGACTTGGTGGCTCTATCCTCGTCATGGGCACCAGCATCCTGATCATGTGAAAGTCGGCAAAACATCTCTGGGCAGAGAGGAGAAGGCAAGCGCGTGGCGCTTCTGTTACTTTCTACACGTCTACAGTAACTCTAAATTCCAAATACTTGTCTGGGACGGGCGTGGAATATACCTTCATGCCAAGAAACCCCAATCTCATGTTGCAAGTAGATTTCCTCCTTGCCTGCGAACTCTTTTTCTTCTCATTGTCTTATTAAATTGCATCACCAAGTGCCCTCTCCGACCCCTTTTCATATAAACGGATTTCCTGGATAAGAAATATATAATCTTTGCTTGAGAAGATCGGATATGTTTTTTTACATCTGTGGATCACCACTGGCTTTCCCCAAAAACTCCCAGTAAACAGCTGCTCCTTCATTCACATGCTTTCGCAGCGCTGCAAGCGCACGCCAGTGAACTTTTTTGGGACGTCATACGCTGCGTGCGAAAGCTCGGTCCCCACCAACATTGCAGCATAGACGTCCCTCTGGCATGGCGAGGGTCGCGACAGCCTCCTGCCGGCGTAAAACCCGTTTTTTTTCTCTTGAGTTTTGAACTTCTAAAAGTGCTCCGAAGCTGACGTGCTTTGTACGTTTTGACTTGGGAATGTGCTTCGCGCCACAACGGCGTGCACTATTTCGACATCACAACTTCCAAAAGTGCTCCGAATCTGGTGTGCTTTGTATTGATTTGGAAACGTGCTTCGCGCCACGGCGTGCAATTGTTCATCTCTCATCTGGCCAGATGGCTCCGCACCCACCGCTTTAGCGAGCCTACTTTTCGACCCTCCGGAGCCACAAATGATTGGAAAAACACTGTGTTTCGCGACTTTCCTACCTTTTCGCGCATCTGCATCTTCTTTCTTCTGACTCTTTCTCTTCTCTGATCTGCTCTCTTCTACTCTTCTCTTCTCTCTACCTCTTCCCATCTCAGCTTTTCATCTGTCCATATTGTCGGAAGTTTGACTTCTAAACTTCCTTCGATGATCATTAATCTATGATACTGAGATAATGCTATCATTCTATCATCTATGATCATCTGCTACTAAAGTGGTACCGTACCTTCCCGAGAATTAAACCAACAAGGGGGTTATGAAACAAGTTTCATCAATCCAATCGTTAAGCCATTAGCACCATTTACCCTGATTTACACGTTTACCATTGGTCTACATGATTAGCTCATCTGCCCTTAAACTGGTACAACCCCAATTAGACCAACCAGGGCAGCCGACCTTGTCCAGAGTACGGAAGCTGAGCGCGGCCAACACCAAAATCAGGAAGACCTCCACGGCAATGACAGTGGAACGATTCGCGGAACGGACGGATAGAAAATGTGATCTACTATCAAGATATGCTTCTCTACATATATCATGAACCCAGCTTTGCAACCCTGCCAGGCTTAAACTATGACAGTGATACCCAAAAACAAATGAGAATGGAATGTAAGAACGAGAGCGGGGGCCGTAAGCACCAAAATAATAGCTTTGTATATATTTCGTATAAGAATTTTACCGTAAACAAAGACGTGTTTATAAGAAGGCAGCCATTACCCACTTCTCATTCACAGCTGTGCGTTGTGGCCCCAGCCATCAGCACGAAGTCAGCTAAGTACCTGGTGCTTTGAGAGTGACCCTGAAGCAGATGGGATACCACCACAAGAGGCAACTGGTTGGGTTGGTTTTTCACGCGTTTCTTTCTAACAACACATTTAGCAACCGGGGAACCCCCAGGCTTTGTTATTAACCATACAAACGCACTCTCAAAGACTACAGCTCTTGTTATACCTCCTTCAAGCTATGTAGTGAAACTAAACTAGGTAGTGTAGTGCCACATTTTAATGACACGTTTGCCTTAGATTTGTGCCGCTTCACTATCAAACACTGGAACTAGCACGAGTGTGTCAGGAGGGGGACCCCCCCAATGTACGATGCCACCGGCTGGTCTGCTCATCAACCCTTTCCCCGTATCGAAACCAGCCCTTCTCCAAGAAATCGTCAGCAATGACTTTTCAACCTCAGGACTCAGGATGGCGTGGGAAGGGCATCAAGGCTTGTCATGGTAAGATTGGTACAAGTGGAAGAGGTACAGTACCTGTTGACCCATTGCCTCAACAAACCTTCATCAAACCGCGAAAGGTTCGTACCCCTCAAGCGCTGCACATTTCGAACTCTGCAGGTGTGTGTCTGTGAAATAAGGTTTGATCATCGTCCTGGAGCAGATAACATATCGCTGGAGCATATTCTCAACTTGTCTAAAAACTTCACTTTGTGTTTGATTATAGAACTGGTTGGTGGTATACCTACCCCACTGAAAAATATGAATCAGTTGGGATGAAATGACATTCCCAACTGTTTCTGGAAAGTCATTCAAAATTCCATGGTTCCAAACCACCAAGCAGTATATTAATCATTGATTATCATTATCAACCATTATTAACCACTATTAACCACTATTAATATAGATTATCCCATTTTTAACCATTATTCATGTTCTATTTCGGGACCGTCTGATACATCATCTACTGCAGGATGGGTTCCAGGAGAATGTGCAGAGCCACCTCCTGGAGGCAGGCTCGAGCAACAGCACGTTGCATCTTCAGACTCTGAAGATCTCTAAGCCGCAAGTAATCCTTTCCTCCCAAGCACCAAGAAACCCTGGCAGAATGTATGAAGCCGTATGGGATCTATCATGATCATCAGTGATCTACAGTATCCCTTTTTGGGAGGTCAAAGGAATTCGATAGTCGGGGGATTCACGGTCGCCTGTCACTGGTCAGTGTCACTATCCTCCAATGCTGGAAATGTCACTATCCTCCAATGCTGGAAAAATGGCAGCAGGAATGAGGCTCCTCCAAATACTGGAAAAATGGCAGCAGGAATGTGGGCTGGAAGTTGGGGGATGAAATGTCGCCAGACCAGTGTAGAAAAGTGGTGGCAATTCCAAAACACGAGATGATATTGCACGACCCCGTGAAGCTGCTCAAGCAAATTTGCCAAGGCCATCGGATCACCATGCCCAGGAGCGATGTCTGCATGCAGGAACTCCAAAAATGGATCCTCGCTCCAGTTGATCTGATCCTCAATGATAGGAAGGTGGCCCGAAGCGACAATTTCCAAGCCGTCCTGGCCAAAGTCCAGTCGGAGGAAGCGTGACCGAGCCCCTGGAAGTGGCAAGGCATGCTCCATGACAACTCCCGAATGAGACAGCAATCCACCAAAGTCTGGAACAAGGCGCAGGCGGCTCAGGCGGCTCTTGTATAGGTAAACTGCAGTGAAAAGCCGGCCATCGTCAGACCATATCTCCAACATTTCCCTCCATGTTGCGGACAATCGAAGTCCCCGACCTCGGGAAGACTCAGCGGAACTAGCGCTCATAGAGCTCGAAGCAATCGAAGCGATCGGAAACATCGAAGTGATCGGAAACATCGAAGTGTGTCACGGGAAGTTTCGGCCACTCTGCAAACACGAAGCCAAAATAGCAGCTGAACGCAACACTTTTGGTGCCAAAACGTCCAAAACTCAATGTGTTCAAAAGTTTGGCTCATCTCATGTCTCTCCCATCTCTGAGATTCCGGACATGGGACACCATTCCACGATGTCAAGGTCCACGCGTGCGGAGGAAGAGACTTGAGAGGGGGGGACGAAAGGTAGGTGGGGGCATATCTCTCAACAACTTTTTGCGTTCATTCTGTTTCAATATACACCGAACTTTCCCTTCCCCCTAGGTGCCTCTCAATTTCCTGCATCCATTTCGTTTCGTACGTAGACTTCCCCTATTGGCCTCTCCGCCACTTCTTACGTTTTTGCTGTTGCAATATCCGAACTTCCCCGGCATCAACAACTTCTTGCATGCATCTTGTCTCAATGACTCAACATCTAAATTCCACCCACCCCGTGCCATAGTCAGTAATAAGAACCACAAGCAAGATAATGTTAGTCAGTTTGTTGGCAACCTATGTGAATTAGAGGGGCCGAGGTGCCTCAACCGATCGACGCTCGGTGGAGGCACTTTGCGTGTAGGTCTTTCTGGATGTAACCTTCATGCGGCTAAGTGCGTGAAGATGTCTGAAGCAAAAACAACATCAACAATTGCAGGAGACGAAACCGTCCTTGTTTCGTGGGAACTATTTAAAGGCTTGCGGCTCAGGGATAAGTGTCGCTGCGAAGGGACATACTGCTATTGTTTTCTTTCCTGCATCAATTTCGTTTCATACGTAGACTTCCCCTATTGGCCTCCCCGCCACTTCTTACGTTTTTGCTGTTGCAATATCCGAACTTCCCCGGCATCAACAACTTCTTGCATGCATCTTGTCTCAATGACTCAATATCTAAATTCCACCCACCCCGTGCCATAGTCAGTAATAAGAACCACAAGCAAGATAATGTTAGTCAGTTTGTTGGCAACCTATGTGAATTAGAGGGGCCAAGGTGCCTCAACCGATCGACGCTCGGTGGAGGCACTTTGCGTGTAGGTCTTTCTGGATGTAACCTTCATGCGGCTAAGTGCGTGAAGATGTCTGAAGCAAAAACAACATCAACAATTGCAGGAGACGAAACCGTCCTTGTTTCGTGGGAACTATTAAAAGGCTTGCGGCTCAGGGATAAGTGTCGCTGCGAAGGGACATACTGCTATTGTTTTCTGTCCTGCATCAATTTCGTTTCATACGTAGACTTCCCCTACTGGCCTCTCCGCCACTTCTTACGTTTTTGCTGTTGCAATATCCGAACTTCTCCGGCATCAACAACTTCTTGCATGCATCTTGTCTCAATGACTCAACATCTAAATTCCACCCACCCCGTGCCATAGTCAGTAATAAGAACCACAAGCAAGATAATGTTAGTCAGTCTGTTGGCAACCTATGTGAATTAGAGGGGCAAAGGTGCCTCAACCGATCGACGCTCGGTTGGGGCACTTTGTGTGTAGGTCTTTATAGATGTAACCTTCACGCGGCTAAGTGCGTGAAGATGTCTGAAGCAAAAACAACATCAACAATTGCAGGAGACGAAACCGTCCTTGTTTCGTGGGAACTATTAAAAGGCTTGCGGCTCAGGGATAAGTGTCGCTGCGAAGGGACATACTGCTATTGTTTTCTTATCTAACATGAGCATTGTCCATGACCGGTGAAGAACATCGAATGGTCTCGTAAAGTATTCCAGTTGGAGCATGGAGCTCACCTGCGTGTCTGTGATGCGCGTAGAGCACCGAATTGCTTCTTATTGAGAAGAAAATTAAAGGACCGCATAACCCCACAAGTCAACTTCTTCCAATAATGATCAACAAATTTTGCAGCGGGGACGGGGAAGGAAGGAAAGACAAAGGAGGAGGTGGAGGAAAAATGGTTTGTGACAAAGTTGTGTGTGTGTGAAAGATGGTGTGGTGAAAGATGGTGTGTGTAAGATGGTGTGTCAAAGATTGTGTGTGAAATTTGGTGTGTGACAAAGTGGTGTGTGAAAGATCATGTCTCAAAGATGGTGTGTGACAAAGTGGTGTGTGAAAGATGGTCTGTGACGGTGTGTGAAAGATGGTGTGTGGCGAAGTGGTGTGAAAGATCATGTGTCAAAGATGGTGTGTGACAAAGTTGTGTGTGAAAGGTAGTGTGTGCGAAAGTTGTGTGTGAAAGAGAGGGTGTGACAAAGATTGTGTGTGAAAGATGGTGTGTGGCAAAGTGGTGTGTGAAAGATCATGTGTCAAAGATGGTGTGTGACAAAGTTGTGTGTGAAAGGTAGTGTGTGCGAAAGTTGTGTGTGAAAGAGAGGGTGTGACAAAGTTGTGTGTGAAAGATGGTGTGTGACAAAGTTGTATGAAAGATGGTGTGTCAAAGATGGTGTGTGAAAGATAGTGTGTGAAACATGGTGTGTCACAAAGTGGTGTGAATACCCAAGCGGCGTCCACGGCGCCAGATCCACCCCAAGCGCCACCAGAGCCAGCCCAGTGCCATAAGTGCCACGCCTGCCACACAAAGTAGAGGTGTCGCCAAGTGCCACGCCTGCCACGCAAAGCGACGCTCGATGTCGCCAAGTAACCCAAGCGCGCCACCAGAGCCAGTCCAGTGCCAGAAGTGCCGCCTGCCACGCAAAGTGAAGGTCCATGTCGCAGTGCCACGCCTGCCACGCAAAGCGACGCTCCATGTCGCCAAGTGCCACGCCTGCCACGCAAACAGCGGTGTGTGGACAAGTTGCATGTGTAGACGTATGTGAGGAAGTTGTGTGAGGAAGTTGTGTGAGGACAAGGTGTGTGTGTGTGTGGACAAGTTGTGTGGTTGTTGTGTGTGAGTAAGCTGTGTGAGGACAAGTTGTGTGGTTGTGTGTGCACAAGTTGTGTGTGGACAAGTTGTGTGTGAGCAAGTTGTGTGAAGACAAGTTGTGTGTGCACAAGTTGTGTGTGTGTGTACAAGTGTGTGGAACATTCACAGAACGAAGCCAGTTGCCGTGGACACGGTAACTGGCTTCGTGCCACAGTTCATGTAGTAGTTGCTTCTCCTCCGGGTTTTCTAAGGTCCCTGCTCCCAGCTATCGCTGCTGGGCCCGTGGCTGCAACTGCACGACGTATACAACTACATATGTATGTATCTATGCCAACATGCTGCAGGCATGTGCAGTATGTGAATGCCAGTCCGTATGCATGCACATCTGTGTATGCGTGCATGAGCGTGCGCTGCTAGGCAGGTATGCATGCATGTATGCAAGCATGCATGTACTTGTGTCTGCAAGTATGTACATGTCTAGGTGCATACGCCTGCAGGCATGTTGGCAGATGCAGCTTTGTAGCTGTGCAATGTGCATGCATGTAGGGGTGTAGTTGTGGAGGAATGTAGGCCTGCAGGGACGTTCACGTGTCGGTATTTAATGAGAACAAAGACGGAATGACGGCATGTGGTACGTAGAAATGTCGGTTCCTAAGTATGTACACCTGTATGCATCTATGTATCCATGTATGTATGCAGGCCTGCATGAATGTTTCTAACACGTACAGTAGGAATGTCTGCAAGTCTGCATGTATGCATGTAGGAAGGATGTATGCAAGTGCGTCTGATCGTCTGTGTGTGAGATGTATGCACATATGTATGCAGGCATGTATGCAGGCGTGGATGAATGTACGCATCAATCAATGTATGCAGGTATATATCAACGTAGCAATGTATTGATGCATGCATGTACGCCTCCATGTATGCATGAAGTTATATGCGTGTGTGTGTGTATGGACGAAGCAGTTCGTCCTCTCGATTGGAAAGCTGCAGGCTAATGGAGGCGAGTGGAGGGTTCGCAAATTTATGCCCAGGAGTGTTTGGAGGGACATCGCATTTTGGATCATCTTCTGGGTGTCGAGCTGGGAACAGTAGCAGCTGCTTATCATGCCAATCCAGCATGCATGCGCAATCATGCAACCCTGTGACATTCTAGGACATGAGTAGCAATACATAGTGCTGCAATACACCACATTGATAGTGGGAGGACAGAGCGCCGCAATCGAAGAGAGCAGTTGCTGAAGAGGAGAAATGAAAGTGTTATGGTGGAATAATCGAACTTCTTCTGTGAAGATAGATGTTTGTTCAATGCAACAGGTCCAAACTCATAGTGCCTCAACCGAGAGAGGTTCAGTTGAGTCACTTTGCCTTGTGCAGGACCTCTCTGGTCAGCCGCCGGCGTTAGCATCTGAATGGAAGATATGGATCCATAACTGGCAATATGCAACAAGACACAGCCACTATATTATCTATATATATATTATGTTTATGGTTCATGTTAGCTGTTCCCCATCATATTAAATATCCAATATCACCAATCTCCAGTGACATGCGCTGATTCCTTTTTTGGCTGCGGACCAGGGGGGAATCGAATAGGGAGGGGGGGCCCTAAGTGGAGATTCCTTACTCTCAGCTCTCAATTTCCGGGAAAGGGCCAGCCACCTCCCCCAGTACTAAACTAGTACTAAAGTACATAGAACTCAGGTAGCCTAGGCTACCTTTCGTGATAAAAAGTAGATGACAAAGTCTGATCACTGTGACAAATAGGTATAATATAGGTTTTTCATAGGTACCATAAGCTCTAGGTTGAAAAAAAAGGCTCGGCAACCCCTGGGGGAAAAAAATGAAGACAGATCAAGACAGCTCAACAGGAAAACGCAAATTCCGTCGTCATTTCTCCACATCTCTTTAGCCCTTGCCAAATATTTGGGTAAAAAAAATCTGTGGAATGCTGGGAATTGGTGTTGGAATGAAGGGTGCATGAATCCTGGTCTGGCAACGGCAAAATTGGACCCACATACTGTAACTGTTCATGTGTAGATATTTCTGGTGTTAAACAATTCAGTTCAAGCCTTCCTGACAATCATCTTCAATATTTAAAAGTGTTATCATCCACTAATAGCTACAAAAATAGAAGAATGAAAGAAAAAACGCGCATCACACCCTTATCACCATCCAA